CTTATTAGCGGTGATAATAGAGCTAATTTGTGATGCTATTGTGGAGGGCCTTAAATTGTCAGGGAATGAGATTTCTTTGGCAGTTTTAAGTGATTGGCTTTTATACTTCAGAAATAAATCACATTGCAGTGTAAAAGGTATGGGAGACAGAATACTATTAGAATAATTCCACTGAGAATTGAGAAACTGACCTGAACCAGGTCTATGAGAAAGGGCATGAGAGGAAGGGATGCAGTTACACTGAGGTGGCCAGATTATTATGACCGGCCAGATTACTATGACCACCCCATCAGTACTTCGTTGGGCCACCTTTTGCCTTCAATACTGCGGCGATTCTTCTTGGCATTGACTCCACGAGATGTTGAAAGGTGATGTGAGGAATCTGACACCATGCCTGATGAATAGCACTGTCCAGTTCTGTGAGATTTGATGGTTGTGTAACCAGCTGCCTGACGGCTCTTTTAACTTCGTCCCACAAATGCTCAATTGGATTGAGATCTGGTGATTGTGGGGGCCACCTAAGCAAGGTAAAGTCTCCCTCATGTTCTTGAAACCACTCCTGCACAATACGAGCACCGTGGCATGGCGCATTGTCTTGTTGGAAGAAGCCATCTCCATGGGGATACGCTATCAACATGATAGGATGAACTCGATCAGCAACTATACTTAGGTATGTTGTGCTATTCAGATGTTTATAATGATCTGGCTCTCTAGCAACTTCAGCATGAAATTATAGCTAATTTGCCTACAAACATCAGGCAGTCATAATAATCTGTGTATAGTGCAGTTATAGATTTTATCCTTCCAGAATGCCATTCTGAGCCTGACCTGGTTTGTGAAGGTCTGACATTGCACGTGAGATGTGACTTTCATCAAACAAGCTGCCAGGTGTCTTGGATTTTCGTGGGTGTTCTAGATGCTATAGTTGCATCACCTGGATTCCTTCATCGGAGGCACTCCTTCCCCAAAGCCAGGAGTTTGGCTGCTGACAGCTCACCGTTGAGTTCCTCCTTAAAATTGCCTTGAGCCAAAGGAAGCTGCCTTGTCCCCGGTTATGCTCCCTCTACAGGGGCAGCCACATTTAATGAATGGTCTGGAGGGGACACAAAACCTTGGCCTCATTGCGTCACTGAAATCAGGACACCTATGAAAGACCATTTCAACTCCAGGAGCTACCCCTGAAGGTGGCCGAGGCCTCCTTTGCAACTTCATCATGTTCAACTTTCCCTCTGAACATTCCTGCTTCTCGCACCTGTCATAGTGTTTGCTCCTGAGAGCACGCTCCAAAATACCTCCTGCATGCAAAGCTCAGAGTCTCGGGTCTGTTTCTGGAAACTGGATTTAAAACGCATTCAATCCCAAACGCAGATGTTGGTAATCATTCTGTCATTGGTTGACATCCTCTGTTGTCATACACGGAGATATTAACGTTGAGGTAGAATCATTTTGTTCCCTTTCAGGAACTAGTTCAGACATTGGGGAAGTCTAGCTCTTTCATGACTGTACCTGATAAAAGTTTAAACAAGCTTTGTCACCTATGGGTCCTGAGGATTTATTTTCTGTCTCTGAATCACTGGAGCTGTGTAATGAATCACTGCATGTGATGTGACTATGATTCACTTCCAGTGTGGTTCTTCCCTTCCAGGAGAGTCGTGTTTGTTGATTCGGATGTAACACAAAGGTATCTACTTGTAAATAATATAGATCTCATGATTTTTTTACTCAGAAATGATACATTTATTTTATTTTCGTATGTGTATTATTGTTGCTTATTTGTCCCTGCTGTTTATTATTTGTCTGGGTGGGAGACATAGAAATAAATTAATGATAGGGTGTTGGAAAGGTGAATTCCTGAGAGGAGTGGGTATATAATATGTGCTTAGAACATTGCCAGGTACATAGTAGGTATCAAATATTTGTTAAATAAAAGTTAGTAAAGAAATAATTAAATAAAATTGAACAAGAAGTCCATGGGAGCTCTGAAGGTGGCAGAGGGCCTAGTGAATATTTCCACTTCAAGCTACTCTAAGTCTGTACAACTGGGTTTAAAAGGGTTTCATATTCAGTAGCATATTTTTTTATAATGAGGTGATAAATTCTAACATTGAATTTGAAGTTTGGTTTGATACCAAGAATAATTTTCAAAGAGTAGGGTCTTGTATGGATTGTGAAGCAAAATACTTCAGCAGAAATCTAGATATGATAAAAAATATTTTAGATTTATTTATCTAAATAATTCAGTCTAGCCCCTTGTCTCTCTCTTCCTCTCTGCTTTCCCTATCTAATATCCCCTTTCATTTTCTGTCTCTCTGCTTAAAAATCTGCATTTCCTGTCCCATTCTTGATTTAAAACTGAAAGTTAAACAGAGTCCCTTAACTTGGCTAAGGTCTAGCTGTCACAATGCTCCAGTCCTCTCACCTGGTAGAGGAAAAGAGAAGTTGTTGCTATTGTTACTGCTCCTTCTTCGTGGCTTGGTGAGATCCCAAGTCTGCCCTCATTATTGTTTGGGAATTCGGAGACCAACAGCCTCCTTCACCAAGGACTATATCAGGAACTACCCCAGTTTTAGCACTGAGAGTCTCCTGTCCCTAGACACCCCTCATCTGGAACAGATCAGGACAGTTGTTTGCCCAGTAACTAATGCATTTTCCACCGATTTTTACTAGGTGAAAGTGATTCTGATAATTATATGATTATCGATTAATTATTGGTTTGTGCCAGGAGAGGCCACTTCCCTGCTTTGCTGAGACTCTTATATGTGCCAATGAATACAATGAAAAGAGTTCCAGAACTGGGCTGAACTGATTACCCAAACAAACAAAAGAATGGTGACAAACTTTAGTATATCAATCACCTCTACTGGCTTTGTAGTCAGGAAAGAGGAACTGAGTGGGAGGACTTGACTAGGGCCTGGGAACTGGAGGAAGAACAAATTTTAAGGTATTCTGTTTTACTGTGGGCCTAAAACAAGATGGTTTCTGAGATCAGTTTGTGGAGTCCCAGAGATGAGCAAAGAGTCAAGAAGCTAGGGGAAAAGAAAGCCAATAAATGTGAGTTTAAAATACTTCATCATGAGGATATGTCGCAGGCAGATAGTCATTATTCAATGCAGCTGGTCCTGAGGTCAGCCCTGGAGTCTCACCATTTATCTGGTTTTGCTGCTTCTCTGGGCCTAAAGCTGAAATACAACTGAGGCCTAGATGCTATCTCTAGGGAGGAAAGGTCACACTGGGGATGAGATCCCATCTTACAATTGTCCTTTGCTAGGCACCCAGGGCTTTCTACCCCAGTGATCTTTTGTACTTGGCCCATTGTCCTTGCTCTGCTCATATCTGCCTTCCAGCCTACCATAGCCCCATCAATACCTTCCCCAACCCACCAATTAAGAAGTGGTGGATCCAGCGGATGGTATTAGAATTTCCGTCTCCAAGTGGCAGATATTGCAAAACAGGGTCCATCTGTATTTATTAAAGCTCTTATCCATTCATTTTTCTTGGTTAAGCTGCTGTAGGATGATATAGTCTCCTAACTGGTCTCCTTCCTTTCATTCTTGTTCCTCCAAGTCCATTGTATCATATCAACACGAATAATCTTTGAAAAACATAGATCTTATTACTTTATCCCCTATCCCACCCTCTGGGTTAAAATCATCTAATGGGTTCTTATCACACCTAATATACAGTATCTGAAATCTTCATCACAGTTTACAAAGCATCACTAATGTGGCCTCTGCCTACCTCTCTTCATCTTACCCACACAGCTCCAGCCACATGATTGTCTTTCTGCTTCTTGAATGTGCTCAGTGACATGTCTATGGAGAGTTGCAGGAGCTGGGAATGTGTCCTCTTTCAGCTCCTGGATTAACTGCCTTCTTTTGGTTAGTCATCTGGTCAGTTATTCTCTATTAAAATATTTTAAATCTCTGCGAACCACCTTTTAATATGGACATGATTTATTTATTTTTGTCTGCTTTTCTTCCCTGATCACACCGTAAGCTTGGTGAAAGCAGGTGCTTGTCACCTTGTTCTGTGCATTAACTGTTAAGTACTAATAGATAATTGATAGCAAATCTTTGTCAAAGTGACTGGTTTCTATTTGCAAAATGCTTATAAACAAATCCGTTTGTATATAAAATATAACTTAAATGAAAAGTTATATACACATGACAACAAACTGGAGAAATAGTAAAAGGCAATATGTAATTAAGTACTATGTGAACTTTTTATCACAAAGCCTTGCTTTAGTTAAAACACAAAGGAGGAGGTGACACATCATATTACTGTCAATCATTATAAGTTCTAAAAGCCAGTTTCAACCAGGAGAAGGCAGAAGACTTAGGTGGAAGTGGTGGAAAGGAGAAAGGAGGGGGCGGGGAGTGTAGTTGGCCTACACAGAGAGTTTGAATGCAGCAAACTTCAGCTCCTGCACTAGTTTGGTAAGGGCAGCCTGGCTTGCCCCAAGATGAAATTCTTAGTATTTGGAGCTTGGGGTAAATGACAATGGGAAAAAATATTTTGAAGTACAATTTTACATTCAGAAAGATCCCCCCGACCCCCCCCCCCCCCCCCCCCCCCCCGCCACACACACACACACACACACACCCCTTTCCTGGCTTGGCGAGATGAAACTACAAAGGTTTATAATAGAAAAAGAAGAAGTTGCCTTCCTAGGTGGAGAGTTGGGAAAGTAAAAAGAGTGTGTGTGCTTGTGGGAGTGGGGGTGGGGCGGAATAGCCTATCGCCCCCCTTGGAATTGTTAGTCTTCGGTCTTCGATCCCAGCGACTCCAGCTGCTGAAATGGACCAGGCCTGCAGGGTGTATGGGTGTGCAGCTGCTACAGGACATTTGCTTTTCTAAACTCCTCCTCTTCCCCCAATTTGGCAAGCGTTAGTCATTTTCAACTCGGCAAGAACCCACAAGTGTGCGTGTGTGGCTGCGGGCTTCGGATCAGGCCCCGCCCACCCTGAGCGGGGACTTGGCCCGGCTGCGCGCTGGGCTCTGGTTGGAGTGGCCGGTCCGAGCCGCTCGCCCCGGGCCGCTCAGCCTCCTCCCCTAAAGGGGACCGCCCGGCCGCGCCGCGCCAGGGCCGCCGAGCACAAGGAAGAAAGTTTGCCGCGCCCGGACGAGTCGGGCCGCCGGAGGAAGGGAAGGAGCCGGAGGACCGGGACCTCCGCTCTGAGTTTGTGCAGCCGTCGTGGCGTCCGGGGGGCGGCTGCCCGCCGCGCACTGCAGCCGCCGGGCTTCGGGCCACCCCGCGGAATGGGGCGCGGGGTCCGGTCCTAGGCGGGAGCCGCAGGCTGGTCTGGAGGCCGGGGAGGAACTTCTTCCGCGCGCGGCCGCCTGGGCCCTGGCTGCCGGCAGAGACTCTCCGGATCCGCGGGGGAAGGACTGACTGCTCTCCGCCGGGATTCGCCTGGGTTCCGGCGGCGGCAGCAGCTGCGGCTGCGGCTGCAGCGTCTCCCTTTGTCCTCTGTGGACCTCCCTCCCGCCCCTTCTCCCTCCCGCTGTCAGGGAGTGGGTTCCGCTGCTCCAGGCGCCGGCGCCCTCGCAGCTCGTCGCCCCAGGGTCCTGGGGGACTCCTACCCCCGCCGCCGCGTCCCGGGGAGCCCCGCCGAGGGGGCCGGGAGCTGACGGAGGCGCAGGCCCCCCGCAGGATGGTGGCGCGGCTGTCGCTGGCCCGCAGTCCGGGGAGCTGGCTGGTCCCGGGGCTGTGGCTGCTGGCCCTCGGCGGTCCCGGGGGGCTGCTGAGCGCCCAGGAGCAGCCCAGCTGCAGAGGCGCCTTTGATCTCTACTTCGTCCTGGACAAGTGAGTGCCAAGGGGGTCCAGTGTCTTGTGGTGCGGGTGGCGTGGGGTGAGTTGTGGCCGGGAGGCAAAGATGTGTGCGCGCCCTGGGGAGGGGAGTGAGAAACCCGTGGATGGCTACCTTGTTGCTCTTTCCGGGCACAGGGCCAGCGCTTTGGGATATTTGCGGGCTGGGGGTGGTGATAGGAGCCAGTCCTGAGGTGCAGGACTCTCTGGGAAAGTGGGGTAGTCCCTGCTTGCAGTCCAAGGGCTTTCTGGGAAATGGAAATGCGGCCACTGGGGGTAGCCTTCTGTGCCCCTGGAACCCAGACCAGACTGTTGGTCAGCCTCCCTGTCCTCACCCCGTCACTCTGGCTAAAGTTTGCTTGGTTTTATCCTAGGAAAGGCCCAGGGTTAACAAACCCTGCGTAGTTTGCATGTCCTGGGAAGAAGGCTGTGTTTATTTTAAAGAGCTGGGGTCCCGCTCCCAACTATTCGCAGGCAGGGGGTCCCCAAAGATGGGTTGACTTTCTCAGTTCTTGCAACACCTAAGTTTCATGGCTGGTGTTGTTACTTTGATTCTAGCAGCGGCCCCATGTACATGTTTGTTTTTCTGATCAGTTCTATTTCTTTTTCTTTTTTTTCAGGTCTTGGAGTGTGGCCAATAACTGGCTTGAAATTTACGATTTTGTCAAGCAACTTACAGAACGATTTGTGAGGTATTTCTCCCACTTTACTTTTCTAGCGACTGGAGTGTGAAGTTGAGGGAAGTAGACCAACATGCAGGGTATTCCCCCGCTTTTTTGGAAACCTTTTGCAGGAAAAGCCTTCAGTGAAATGTGGATGTGAAAGAGCCTCAGGATCATTATTACACACATGCTCTTATTAGGACAGACCTTCACTTGTTGAGGGCTTATGTCATCTGGACCCCAGAAACTTGGCTCAGGCCCCAGGGAAGCATCTTCAAATGCTATTCCACATGTCTTTTCCTTTTTGAATTTTCATCTGTTATGAATTTCAGTTATGCTTTCTCATAATTTATCACATTAAAATTTTTATGCTAATAGTATCCATCATATATTTTCCTTTCCACACGATTCTTAGCATTGTAGAGGTCCTCATTAAAAAAAAAAAGTGTTGGTAAACTTCAAATGAACATGTGTTAATAACCTACTACCAGAAAAGGCACTTGTGTGGTTGTTTAAAGAAATGACTTGTGTTTACAAAATGTGTGGGTGGGTGTGTGGTGCGTTTAAAATTTAACTGTTCTATATATGCAATGAGCCTTACTACGAAAGACTGGTTTCTTCTCCTATAAAAAGCATAACTACTATGCAGTCCAGCTCACCCTCTTATTTAGAGGTAACTAGGGATTAGTGGCATCCCTACTTAAACATAGCCCCCAGACACCAGGCTTTTGAGGCTTTTTTCCCCTTTCATTTTTCTTTTTTAAAGAAAAACATGCAATGAGCAAATGCAAGTTTATCAAGATAATGGAAAGGACACAAAAAGGAGCTGTATCATTAAATATTGCTTCTTTCAGTCTTGTTAGCCCAAATGTTGTCTGTAAAACAGGCTTGGATGATCAAAACATTTTGAAAGTCATGTTGCAAGTAACTTCAACAATCTGTAGAGGCCTAGGCAATCCTTGCTTTCAGTTATTGGCAGCCGTGAAGTTATCCCTATAAAAATGTATGCTTGTCCATGTTCCATCATGTCTCCTGCTTCAGAAATCAAGTATGACACTCATTTCTGGGCGGGGTCAGAGGTAAAACTGTCTAAGAAAGAAAAATAAACAGGGCCCTATGTCCTTTAATGTCAAAGACAGAAGAGAGTTCTTGATAAGTTTTCTGATTTAATCCAGGAGTATGCAGAGAGTTTTCACATAGATTTTGATTGAGAGCAATGGATCATTTCAATACAACATTTCCAAGAAGGGAGGTTCTTATTTATTTGGTCTGCTTTGCAAGTTGGACTTCTGTAATACACAGTTCTCTGGCTCAAGTTTGGTTGCTCCGTTACTAAGGATACAGCGTAGGAAGTGAATACAGGGTGACTACTGAAGAGAGTAACTTTCAAAATATGCATGGGACATCGTTCTGATCTTGCGGTCTGTAGGTCTTAGCTTCATACCTTCAGTTTCCAATCTGAGTAATGGTTGCAAAGAGTGTCTTAGAAACAGGAACCATTCTGTGGTATAAATGCCGAAAGCTTAAAAGACGCAGCTCACTGGGGCAGTGGTTGACTACGGCAATATGACCGTTGAGACTTGGAAAATTGAAGATGACTAATCAAAACGGGATTTGTTGGTCTCTTTCACATTGCCCATGGCATTCTTTAAGTATTCTAAAGTATTCAGGATAACTTTTTATGAAATTCATAATGTAGTGGTAATTAAGTCAAACTGGCTACTCCCCAACCCTCAATATTGCTAGCCATAGTCTCTCTGCAGGGTTTGGTCTCCTTTAAGGAGATAGGATAGAACATCAAGTAGTTTCTCAAAAGAATTGTTCATGGACCTAGAATTTATCTTTCTAGTAAATCTCTTCCTAAACGGCCCCAAGGGTCATGGAGGAGTGCTTGAGTGCTGAGAAGCACTGCCTGAATCCAAAATGACTTGTGCAGTAACATTAAGCAGAGTTAGTGTATCTATTAGGGGGTTCCATTGGAAAGAAGCCTGGGCTATTCAGTGAGACGGATTTTAAACGAGACTCCCTAGCTGTATATCTGCATTGTATCACTATTTCCTTTAAACATGTTTTAACGGCCTCTCTTCTTATTTTGCAGCCCTCGCATGAGAGTATCTTTCATTGTGTTTTCTTCTCAAGCAACCACTATTTTGCCATTAACTGGAGACAGGTTAGTGCATTATCATGTCGCTGCAGGCTTTTAGCAGAGACTAATCTTAAAAGAATGATTGATATTCCAAGTGGTGGTTCAGGCCTCTCAGTGGAATCAAGCAAATGCACAGACAATTGGGTTCTCTTCACTAATAGAGGGGAAAGGAGGTATGAGTAATATAAAAGAGTGGATAATCTGAAAATCAATATCATTCATATTGGGTGTGGAATGTACAGTGAAACCCAGAACTCTGCCTAGTTGTATATTCACTACCTCCCACCATTTCCCTTCTCTGTTACTATAAGTAGTTCTACATCTTTCTTGTTTAGATGTAATATATTAATCAATTAGGAATTTGAAGAACATTAGGGAGGGAAGGCTATGGATCTATTTGGATAATTCACTAGATTCAGCAGACATCCTGGATCTCTAGTCTTACTCTAAGGTGCACTGGTGCTGAATATGTTTATTTTTGTAAAGGAACTTGCTTTATATTATATTAGTATGTATATGTATATATATATAACGTACATATAAAATGCATCTATATAGCTCACATTTTTATCAGACATGTGTAATATATAAGTATGTGTCTCTACACACAGATACACACACACAAGACACACACACACAAATACATAAATCTTTTGTAAAAGGTATGGCTTTTTCCAAGCCAATGTCACCGTATTTCATATGACCATTTCTATGTCATTTGAACTCACTGTGGCAAGTTGGAAATAGTCATCGCCGTATTTTAAAGAATGGCTAGTTTCCATGGGATCAGTTTTGCTTACTAGACTCTGAGTTCTTTGTTTTTATATCTACTTTATTTAATACCAGGTATGCATGATAGCTCTTGCTCAGTACTTGTTGAATCAATGAATGAGTTAGCATTATTTTGAAATCAAACTGTAGTTTTAGCAGGGGAGGCTGGTGGAGTTTGTTTTGCATAATATGTGGATTTCCCAGGAGTTATGTGTGAATACAGGTTTCTTTTATAAATTATTTTTCTTTGAGAAATGTCAAGAAAGCATAGTATTTAAAAGGATTCAGGGAGAGAACTTATATAAACTTTAAATTTATTTGTGCTTTAAGTATTACTTTTCCTGGAGAGGAAGTCTGTAGATGGGTGGGGCGGGGGGGGGGGCGCGGTCTGGCTTACAACCTCAGTCTTCTCATGGATACTTCCCTTCCATCTTTTTTTACGTGCACCTGGGTTTCTTCAAGGCCAGAACAATAGCAGCCCCTTATAACCCATACACAACATCTTTCTACATTCAGTGATGTGGCAGTCCTTGCCTTCATGGGAATACATTTTATTCACCGCCCAGCCTCATTTCCAAAGACACGGATTTGGACCTAGCCTATCCTCTAGGAGAAAATAAAAGCATGATGGTGACATTTATGGAGTGCATAAGTAGAGAAAAGCGCTTAGCATAATGCCAGACATATAGTAGACTCTCAGTAATTGTCACCTGCGTATTCTGTGCCAGGTGCTCCGTCAGACTCTTTACATATGGGTCCTCCAGCCCTTTGAGGATGAAGTGTAATCAGTGGTCTCCAAGTGGATATTGCTTAGACATGCACATGAGGAGTTTGAATCATTAATTTAAATGAGAGGTTCTTCCCTTCTCTTGGTTGAATCTCATAGGGGAGAGATTGGAATGGGATAAAGAGGCTTCTATTTGAAGAGACAGCGTAACATTGTTGTTAAGAGCCACTGAACTGGTATCTAGCTAAACGGTCATGGGCAAGTTACTTAACCTCTTTTTACTTAAAATATTTTTTTATTGATTTTTAGAGAAAGAGGAAGGGAGAGGGAGAGAGACAGAAACATTGATGTGAGAGCCAAACAGAGACAGGCTGCCTCCTGCACACCCTGCCTGGGAATCAAGCTTACAACCCGGGCATGTGCCCTGACCAGGAATCAACACTGCAAACTTTCAGTGCAGGGGATGACGCCCAACCAACTGAGCCACATTGGCCAGGACACTTAACCTTTTTATGCCTCCTTTTCCCCCTCTGCATACTGACGGCAAAGATGATGATAACAGTAACTACCTCATAAGATTGTTGTAAGAATTGAAATCAGTGAGTGAGGAGAATATACGACAGAATCTGGCATGTATGTATTCAAAAGGTGAAAGCTCTGTTGTTACCTGGAGCTAGGGAATATGTAGTATTTAATGATCAGGGAAGAATTGTGTTTATATAAAGAGATTATTGTCCTTTTGAAAGGATTTATAATACTCCAGGCAGAATTTTTTTTTAAATATATCTTATTGATTTTTTACAGAGAGGAAGGGAGAGGGAGAGGGATACAGAGTTAGAAACATTGATGAGAGAGAAACATCGATTCAGCTGCCTCTTGCATGCCCCCTACTGGGGATGTGCCCACAACCCAGGTACATGCCCTTGGTCGGAATCGAACCTGGGACCCTTCAGTCTGCAGGCCAAAGCTCTATCCGCTGAGCCAAACCGGTTAGGGCTCCAGTCAGAATTTTAATAATGCTACTTGCAAGTTATTTTGCTTGCCTGTCTCTTGGAAATAAAGATACATTTATTTTTATTGAATTTAACTATTTGTAGCATGTTGAACTAGTTTGGGATGGCAGAAAGAACACTAAGAAGGTCTGGGTTAGAGTTCTGGTTTTGCTACTTTCTGACTTGGAGAATTGGACCAAGTATATACTCAGTGTGTTGCTTTTTATATGTATAAATCACAGACATAAACTATCAAGTTTTCTTAAGAGAGATGTTATGAAGATCAAAATAAGATAATGCATAGAAAAGTACTTTGTATATCACAGAATAGTCTCCAGTAAAGGATATTATTTTCTGCTTCTAGTTATTCTTATACTAACTTTATTTAATTAAGTGAGTAACTTTTTAAATTTCTATGGCCCTCTATATTTGGATATAAGATCATTTTTCATCCATTACATACTGTCAAGTGTGTAGAAACAATTTGCATATTTAGATGCAAGATCACTGAACAAATGTTTCCACAACTATTGTGGATCTTTGAGTCAAAGCCTAGAAATTGGTATTCTACATATCAACTTTCTTGATGGCGTGTATCAGACTGACAAACAGATCTGCATGCCTGAGCAACACAAAAGTTAAGCACAGCAGGTTTCACAATTTTGGTTCTATCACTCATAATTCTCCAGTTCTGTGGTAAATATGAGAAGTACCTCTTTCGTGTTTCTCAGGGTGTTGCTAAATACTTTCAGTAGAGATGAAGCAAGATTGGAGAGCAGTACGTCCTTATGGTCGGGCAGTGTCTTCTGTTAGGGTTTCAGCATAACATCTAGTGCTATGTAAATGCACGAATAGCATAATGGCAAGAAATGACCAGTTATACATTTCATATACTCATCACTTAGAAACTTCATTCTTTTCAATATTTCAATTGAAAACACTCCCTTCTATTCTCTTGTTCTCATGATTTTTATCCTCCATATATCTGATAGTCCATTTTTTCTACCTACCTGCATGCCTTCCTTATAAGATTTATTGAGTATTGTGGGTTCTGGGAGTAACACAAAGATGTATAATCTAGTGTGTGTGAAAATAAGGGGTGTGCACATACACATCAGTAGTTCAGGGCTGAATTACAGGATCAGGTAAGAAGGAAGTGCTGAGTGTTTTTCAATATGGAAATATCCAGCCTTTTAATATTAGAGAATTTGAAACAGGACTAATTTTAAAGGATATTTTTAGTCTTTGTGGTACATACTTGGGGATAGTGAATTATGCTCAGTTGTGTTTAATATGGTCTTAATGATATGAAAGTGATTTAGTTGAAATCATTTACTGAACAATTATTAGGTGCTAGGCAGTGTGCAAAATGCTTCCCATTCATTACCTCATTGAATCCTCCTATCAACTCCATGTAATACATACTATTATTATCTCATCTTTACAAATGAGGAAACTGAAGCTAAGAAAGGTAATGTAGCTTGTCCAAGGATACTTAGTTAATAAGTGGTGATCAGTATATCAGCCAGAATGGTATCTTAATGTATAAAGTAGATCATGCCACTCTCATGCCGAATACAGTCTAATGGCTTGGAATAGAAGAACACGTCTCCCCGTGGCCTGAAGCTCCTACCTGATTGCCTCACACAATCCTCTGTTACAACATTGGATGCCATAGCTAGCCCACTGGCTGCCTTTCCATTCCCTAAAAAGGCCAAGCTTGTTTCCACATTAGGACATTTGCTCTTTCTCGGCCCCAGGTCTTGTCCAGGCCAGGTCATTCTTGTCATTTTGGCCTTATCCCATGTGTCACTTCCTCTGAGAGGCCTTGCTTGGCCATCAAGTCTGAGGGAACCCTGACCTGCCTCCTCAGTAAATTCTCACAATACTCTATCTGGTTATCACGTTTTGAAATTATTCTATTAATTAATCAATTTATTTTTATCTCCATGACTCTAATGTAAAGTACATGAGAGCAGAGGGGTCTTCTTTGTCTTGTTCACCCATATATCCAACACCTAGAACAGAGCGTGGCACACAGTGGATGCTCAGTAGATATGTGTTGAGTGAATGGTTGAGTTTGCCTGACTGTAGAACCTTAGTTATTAATTGTTCTAATGTTTTTTCTCTCTTTGAAAAATGATAAATGATGACATAGTTCCCAATTTTCTCATTCCCATTCTTATAGATCAGTTATAAATATTTTCAATTCTGTTTTCAATATACTTGTCCCAAGATTTAAAAGGTTATGTTTATTTGATCTGAACACAATTACACATTACGTAGGAAAAAATATTCCTTGGCCTGACTTGTTGGAAATTGAAGAGAAGTCATTAAGTTTAGATAATATACACATTTCTATTATTTGAAAGAATTTATTCTAATTCCTTATCATCTGAATTAAAAATGTACTTGTGACAAGATAGTCCTTTTAAGGGACATATGACAGTCTCTGTAAATGTTTAGAAGGTTCCTATTAGCAGTTCTCCTTTTTAGGGACGATGTCTCACTGAGATACTAGCACCAGAGTGCAA